GGAATTCCGTGACAAAGTCCTGCTTTCCCAGTCTGTCTTCTCACAGACAGATATCAACAAAGGTCCTGAGTGGAACGCCCTAATGACACAGCACAGACCTAGTACTATTTATAAAGCTGTGGGTTTCTATGTAGAGTCACCTGGTCATCTAAAAGAATGCATTAAGTAGAAAGCATTACTTAAAAGGTTAGTGTTTGTCCCCATTCATATAAAAGACCACAAAGAGCTATCAGACTCTCTTGTCTCACAAGGCCCCAGAGAGTTAGATGGGACTCTAGTGTCAAGATGCAGAGAACTCTGTTGTTGTCCAGGGGCATCTTTAGTAATATGGTTTTAAAGTTTTATCTTACACCATTTTAAACAGCTCCCACCCTCTCAATAGTCCATTTTTCTGGGATTCTAGAAGCCAAGTGGGTAGGAATGAGGGGGATCTGCTCACACTCTGAGAACAGGGGCTCTGCACACGGGTCTCTGTCCTGCTGTGCGCACGTACTCACTCACTGATAAGCTGATGGCAGCTTCCTGGGTGCATACCTTCTTCCTCCCTCTGACAGACGATCCTCTCCATGGGCAGATTTGACTTTGGAACAGTCTAGGGAATTGTAGTTTCGAAGCCTCCACCTTGGCCTCTAGAATTCTTGTGTTTATATTTGTATAATGGCAGTTTTCTTTTGTTCTGAAAGGACCCATGTTGCCCTGGGGCAGGCACATGGATGATACCCATACAACTCCTGGGAAGGCCTCTCAAAGCCTCAAGGGTGGGGACTACCTCCTCCCTATCATCTGAAATTGCTTTACATCCCAGCTCCATCCAGAGAATCCTGGTTTTAGGGAGAACAGAGGTGGGTTAGGGAAAGCACGGTCATGACGTCAGCCCCTTTCTGCTCCTTTCAGCCTCTTAGGTGTTTAGGAAGAGCTGAACACGGCTTTGAGAAAGCATTAATTCCTTTTTCATAGGTAGTAAAAGAACTGACAAGGGCAATGTAGGGAAGGGTTCCTTTGGACTCCTGGTTTGAGGGTACAGTCCACCACAGCAAGGAAGTTATGGTGCTGGGGTGCGACGCAGCTGGTCAAACCAGAGTGACAGATGCTGGTGCTCACGGGCTTCCTCCCTTCAAGCCAGTCTGGGACCTCAGACCAGAGAACATTGCTGTCCACACGAAAGCTGGGTCTCACTGCCACAGTTAAACCTTTCTGGAAACACCCTCACAGATATGCACAGATGTGTGTCTCCTAGGTGATTCTAAGTCCTGCCAAGTTGACAGTGAGGATTAACCATCACAGCCCTCTCCTGGACCTTTCAGTCTTAGGGCAGGAGGTCAGCTTGGCACATCCAGAGCTATCAGCTGCATTCCCAAAGATTATAAGCCAACATAATAAATAACATCCCATCTTTTTGTCACACCTCGTATAAGATATCTATGCCAAATATCATAGAAGCATCAATATGTTGTCAAAGTCATTTGCCAATGATAACTGAAAATGCATTTGTGAGATTTCAGTCTCCAATAAGACAAAAGGCATCAGCTCAGCAGGGACCCCTCACTGGCAAACTCTGGCTCCTCACAAATGGACTAGCAGTCATATATGCCTGTGGCAATTGCTTTTCTTAAATGTTTTGTGGGTATTTTTATTCTGATTCTAAATCAGATGACATACTTTTGCTGAGTCCCCAAAATAATTCAATTTGAATTTGAAATAAAGTTCCAACTTCCTAAAATAGACAACATACTCAAAAAGCAGGTTGGAACTATAAAAAGACCTACTCTTCAGAAACTTAGAAGCTGCCAGGACCTCCAAGCAAGGCACAAACCGAGGACAGTCAGCAATTAATCAATTTTCTAGTCCTGGGGAAGATGGATGAGCTGCATTGAGAATGCATCCACTAAATAGTAAATAACAAGCTCTCTGAAATGACACTCACCAGGTAGTTTAAAATACTTTTGTGCTTTGAAAGCTTGTCATATTGACATATTTCTCCTCCAAGGAAATTTTAGGAAGAGTATCATTTGCGCCCACATTATCTGCACAATCAGTTTAATTCCATCTGTGTCTGAATGGCCCAAAATGGGTTAGAACTGTGCTAGGGCTCATAAATGTAGGCAGTGGAGATTAGCATGTAGCACCATCATCATCGTTCATCCCCTAGTTTCTCACATATGACATGTGGGGCCAGTAGTCATCACACTGCAACAGAGTTTCAGTGGTTTTTGAAGAGGCCAAGTGCTATTATTTATACTAAAAGGGTCAAAATGGAGTGACTTCAGGAGGCTCTGTGGAGGCACATTCCCAGCTGCATATGTTGCATTCAATTATATCAAATATACACAGTGCCTAAATGCATGAGGTATCCTTGGCCAAGTGCAGTTGGAGCCATTAGCACTGAACCATGGGTGTGCACGCGCACTGCAGCAAAATGCGCCTTGAGAAACCACACCGTGGTGAGGTTGCAAACACAACAGACTCACTTTCCACAGGCACAGGGCAGTCTAATTTCTTCACAGAGAGCAGATCTGCCTTCTGCACACACAGGGCAGGCTCTCCTTTAGGACGCGGAGCAGGCTTGCCTTCACACACGGCGCAGAAATTCCTTCTCCACACACAGGTCAGGAGCTCCTTCCCCCCACACAGGGCAGGCCATCCTTCTGCACACACAGAGCAGAACCAGCCTCTCTGTGTACACCAGCTCATGAATTAATGACTTCCAGAGCTCCCAGGAATGTGCCAAGTCCTCAGTCTGGCTGTATCACTGCTATGGAGCATTTTCCCAAGGAGCTTGTTAGGAGGACACGGTCTCACCACAACAGCCACAGGTGAGCACCTGGTGAGAGTTCAGGAACCCCCCGCACATGCCAGGGCATCCTCCCCTCCCACAGCTCCTCAAAACTGCAGTGCGCACAACTGCGGAACCTGCAGCAGCTCCGTGTGCAACATCTGAGCTTGTTTCAAAGTCAGTTTTTAATTCTGGAAGTCATTCAGATGATTAAAACCAGAATTAACGTTTTGCTGTTATTTAAAGGCCAACTGCTCAGAATCTGAGGCAAGTCCATTTCCCTTGCCCTGCAGGGAGCTTGTCTCGCTTTCCAAACCAGTGTACACGTGTACAGATGCACTGGGAGAAGTTTGCAGATACCACAAAGAGAAGAAACCACGCCCCCCCCGCCCCGTTTCTGGAGGCTCATACCATCAAACACCCTGGATGACCATCTCCTGTAGCCATACAAGTGTTCTTTGATCCCCTATCCCCACCCCAGATGAAGCAATCTTTTAGAAGAAAATTTGAAAGAGTCAGAAAGCACAGGCCCCCAAGGGAGGCTTGACCTCAGGGCTTCCCAGAGGTCTGTTCCTGTCTCAGGGCAGTCAATGCTCCAAGTAGCCATCACCCCCTCCAGAGTGCTGTGGGCAAGGAAGAAGGAGCTCAGGGAAAAGAAAAATCACTTCTCACTAGACTCTTTGCTGGGTTGGGGAGGACAGTATTCAGCCTTTTACCCTGCATAGTTCTGGAAAGTTCTATAGGTATCTACTTGGTTCTGAAGTCAGGGCTCATTGTCACCTAACCAGGGCATCCATTGGAGAGATGCTCCCACCCTGAGCCCCAGATGTCAGGACTGCTGGCCCAGCACTTGATCTCCCAACCTTCCTTCTGCTTGCTGAACTATCTCAGGATGAAGGACCAAGGAGGCTGCCCTGTTAGCTTTAGCGTCAACTCGACACACCTGGGAAGAGGGAGCCTCAACTGAGGAATTTCCTCCATTGGACTGTCCTGTGGCCATGTCTGTGGAGCATCTTCTTGACTGTTAATCTCTCCATAGGCAGAGGGGCCTGGGTTGTATAAGAAAGGTAGATGAGCAAGTCAGGGGGAACAAGTGCTCCTCGTCCATGGTCTCTGCTTCAGTTCCTGCCTCTACGTTCCTGCCTCGAGCTCCTGCCCTGGCTTCCCTGAATGATGGAACCCTTTCCTACCCAAGTTGCTTTTGATCATGGTGTTTTATCACAGCAACAGAAAGCTAACTAGAACAGGAGGTGAAAATGGATACTGGTTCTGAGACAGGGTTCCATCTTTTTAAATTAATTAATTATTTTTGTTAGGCCACATATCCGTTACTTCTTCTGAAATACATCATTAAAAGAAAAAAACACTGCTGACATGCTTGACCAGTGCCTTGGATTTCTGACCCAGGACTGCAGAGCCGCTGTGAGAAGTCAATATGGAAGCCAGGTACACAGAAGACATACCTGATTATGGGCCCAGGTTCTAGTGGGACATCCATCTGAGTCCCACATGTACCACAGACAACTGAGCTCAGGACATGGCCCAAGAAACACTGCTCTCTAACTGAGCTTCTGGCCTCATCCTCACCCTCACTTAAAGAAGATAACCCTGGAGCACATCCATCCTTCCCTCTGGCCTGTCCTGAAGACTTAGACACAGGTTGTCCCAGTGTAGCCCCTGCAGGTGAAGCTCAGTATGAAGAGGGCAGTCCGTGGCCTAGTGAGAGACACTAAGCTAAAGCTTTTCTTCACCCAAGAGGTAGGACAGGTTCCCACACGATACCTGCAACCAACACAGTCAGGCCATGACAAGTCACCTGGATGGATAGCTGCCTGTCACTTTTTGCCACATACAGCTGCAGACACCTCCACAATCTCATCTGCAGATGAACCTCGAAAACAAGGGCCGGATGGATTACCCAAAGTCTCAGGGCAAGAAAGACCCAGAGATGTAATATCTAGTCAGAACTGCCCGCCTCAAAGTTATTCTCTTGCCTGGCACAGGGTTGCCCTGAGCAGCAAGTCACCCTGGCCACTCCCTAGGGCTCTGGAAACTGAACTTCAATGAGGTACCCAGAGCAGGTCCCAAGTGAGGACCCATACCCTCCAACCATCTGTTTAGCAGTTGAACTATTTTGGATCAAAGTCAAAGTAGTCAAAAGTGATCTCTTTTCACACTAACTTGAGCATCGAGGGAAGACACGCTAGGAAAGGATGGTACCACCTACCGATTCCTCTTGGTCTTCACACTTGGGTCCTCACTGCCGTCTTCTGAACCAGATCCATCACTGCTGTCAGCTGAAAGAAACATCACATTAGCACAGCTGGAGGGTCAGGCGTGATGTCCCAGCAGGCAGCAGGCAGCTGTGGTACTGAAGCCGGCCCATCTGGAAGTTTGGAAAGTGATTTCTCTTAGACACTGACATGGGTCCCTTGAGCTTGCCTTCTCTGGTACGTATCCCTATGCATCCTATAGAAAAGACACCTGACTGCCGATGGCAGAGAGGTCATCTCTAGCCTCTGCCTCCAGAGGTTGTCAGATCTTCAGAGGCCCTGGAAGAATGAGGAAGGTAGACAGCAACTCCTGCCCCACCCTTGGGACCAGCCCTCCCTGCAGGCCCAAGTGCAGTCTCTGCCAGTTAGCTGCTAAAGTAGTTGACTCTTAGCAGTGTCTTCCTGGTACCCAGGGCCTTTCTTCTGTCCAACACAACAGCAACAGACACTTTCTGAACACCATGCGTTCCTTACCACAGGCTATGCCTTTGCTTCCAAAGCCGAAATGTCTGGAAGACACATTGCTATTTCCTACCCAGCCCTGGAAACATAGGGTGATCTGACAGAATGGCGAAAGAATAATGTGAGTTTCAAAGAGAGAAAGAGCAGGGAATGAGAGATGGTTCTAGAGCCTTGTCATATCTGACCTGCCAGGTGGACCCTGATCTCAGCATCCCAACAGACACCGTAGCCTGTTTCTCTTTCTGTGCTTATGTACCCCAAAGCCACCCTCTCTGTGAGGCGGTCACAGTGTTGACAGTGGGGAAAACACGGAATGGGCTTGGCTGAGTGTGCCCCCAGGTGTCCACCCCGCTACCTGGGATGGGCTTGGTTGAGTGTGCCCCCAGGTGTCCACCCCGCTACCTGGGATGGGCTTGGCTGAGTGTGCCCCCAGGTGTCCACCCCAGTACCTGGGTCACACCCTTCCCACAGCCACTGTGCATGGCCTTGTCCTCCCCTGGAAAACCTAGTGCCCCACTCATGACAAGAGGAAGTTATAGGAGGAAAGTATCTTGAATGCTGTGCAGGCATCTGTTCCCCTCCTTCCCTCTTCCCTCCTCCCCTCCGTCCCTCCATCCCTCCTTCCTCCTTCCCTCCGTCCCTCCTTCCCTCCTCCCCTCCGTCCCTCCATCCCTCCTTCCCTCCTTCCCTCCTCCCCTCCGTCCCTCCATCCCTCCTTCCCTCCTCCCCTCCGTCCCTCCCTCCCTCCCTTCCTTCCTTCCTCCTTGCCTCCCTGCCTTCTTTGAGATAGGGTCTTATGTAGCCAAGGCTGGCTTTGAACTCCTGATCTTCCTGCCTCCACTTCCCTACCTTTTCTTTTGTTTTTAAATTTATGTATATGCATGCTTTGTGTATGTATGTATGTAAGTGCCCCCATCTGAGCAATGCTTGCAGAGGCCAGAAGAGGGCATAGGATCCCCTGGAACTGGAGTTATGGTGTTGTTAGTCACAATGTGGGCACTGGGAATGGAACCCTGGTGCTTTGTGAGAGCAGCCGGTGCTCCACCTACAGAGCCAGCTCAGTATTAAGAAATCTCCCCAGCTGCCTTTTCTTTTTAAGCCTTTACACTTTTTATGCCCGCTCTTGGGATTCTGGGAGAGGCTCAGTTACTGAGGTCAACCAGTCTGCCTATTCATAGTTCTGATCTCAATATAGGGTATGCAGCTGTCAGTGGGATGAGACAGCCAGATTCCAGAGACACTGGAATAATTTCTAGCAGACATATTTCAAGCCTGTCCGCTCTGTGTCTTGCACATGTACCAGCTACCCTGTCAGCCCCCAAGTGCTTTGTAAGGAGGAGCTGGCTATAATAAGATTTCCTAGGAGCCTCCTAGCCGGCTTAACAGTTCTCCAACACATGCCTGTGGAAAGTCTCCACCAGAAAAGAGATTGTACAGGTCACTGGAATCTTTCAAAAGTGAGGTTGTGTGGGAGTCTAGAGTCTTGTGGAGCAGGTAAGAGGGAGAGACACGAGGACAGAAGCTGTTGGAGGGAACAGTAGAGTCCAAGATGGGGTCAGGGCTCCCAACATGCACCGCCTTGTGTCTAACGGGTCATCCCTTGCCATGGGTGCTAACCTGAGCCCTAGAGGCTATTTAGCATTGTCCCTGTGGCTACACACAATGGGTTACCACGCAGCAGCACCCCAGTGTGTCAGCCAAAGTGTCTCCAGAAACTGCTAACTGTGTGTGCAATCCCCTCCAACTGAGAGACACCAGTGTGGGTAAAGAGATCTCTTTGGCCATTTGGGGTGCCTGGGGAAGAGGCACTACAGATCTGCCACACCATTCTCTATGATCTCTTCCTGGAAGTGCCTCCTTCCTTGGCCTCCCAATCCCTATATGCTGATAACATACCTGTCTGGCCACCATGTACCGTAGGTATCCAACTCAGCTCAAGCATCCTGAGTCACTTGCACACTGCCTCAGTTCTCGCACCCACCAGTATCCCTCCAGATGACTCCCTCCCTGTCCCTCTCTGTCCCTTGGCATTTCACTGTCCCTTTGCCATCCCCACCTGAGGCACTGGAGGCTGACCTCTCCCTCTGCTCATCTGTATACCTCTGGTGTCTGCAACCTTTTCCTAGCTGTGCTTCCTGCCTGGTGTGTGCAAAGGCATAGTTCTATCTAGGCTGTGAAGAGTGACTGGAACCTGTTTGCATGCTCTTGTCTTCCCTACATACTCGATCAGGGATGAGAGATACAGTGACTGTCACGGGGGAGCCAGCTCTACCGCCCCTCCCACCCTGCACACTCCAGGGAAGCCAGGTAAGAAGCAGGAAAATCCTAAATGCAAAAGTTGCCATGTAGTCATGAAGGGCTTATCCAAGATAAATGTATGCAATATTGGTTATTGTTTCAGGGGGGCCTTCTGGTTATTTTTAATAATCTCAACATGAGTAGACCTTTCTTGGTCAGGTACAAAGTCCAAAAATAACAAAGCAAAATACTTAAAAATTTGACTGACTTTAAAAGTAGAAGATCAAAGGGAAGGTCACACAAAATGGATCCTTTGGGGGTAGGTCTCCACCACACAAAATGGATCCCTTGGGGGTAGGTCTCCACCACACAAAATGGATCCCTTGGGGGTAGGTCTCCACCACACAAAATGGATCCCTTGGGGGTAGGTCTCCACCACACAAAATGGATCCCTTGGGGGTAGGTCTCCACCACACAAAATGGATCCCTTGGGGGTAGGTCTCCACCACACAAAATGGATCCCTTGGTGTAGGTCTCTACCACTCTCAGTGATTTGAATCAACTCCTTCACAGCTAGGAACCTGCTGAGCACTTCTTCCCAAAGGGCCAGGGCTGGAACAGGGAGAGGCTGCTATGCTCTGCTGTCTGACAGGATGACAGGTCAGAGAGAGTGGTAACCATGCACAGAGAGGACAAACACTTCATGCTGAGGTTGGGCCCAGCCCTCAGCAAGCCAGGCCAGAGAACTTAAGAGACCATCCCCAAGGAAGTCACACACTATTTGTACTCAGCACAGGTTGGAAATGGATGAGATATCTAAGGACAGACTCTTAGTCGCTAAGCAAAAGGCAAACCAGACCCTGGACTCCACAGTGACATCTTAAACATGACACCAGAAATATAATTAATGGAGGCTGGAGAGATGGCTCGGGGGTTAAGAGCACTTGATGCTCCTGCAGAGGACCTGAGTTCAGTTTCCAGCACCCACACTGGGTGACTCACAACCTCCTATAACTCCAGCTCCACTGTCCTCTTCTGAACTCTGAGGGCAGCTGCATTCACACATGAACATGAACAGACCACCTCTATCACATACATACACTTTAAATTAAAAAATGAAAGAAATCTGAAATAATGAAACAGTTAAAAACAACAAAAATCCTGGTAAGTTGAATTAGTAAAAATGAAAAACTTTGTGCATCAAAAACAGTACCAGTGGCGTGAAAACATGAGCCGTCCTAGAGGGAAAATTTGTAAATTGTGTACACAATAAGGACTAACATCCACAGTCTATATAAAACTCTTAACACTCAACACAGCATAAAACAACCCAGTTAAAATGTGAGAAAGAATTTGAATAGACATCTCTTCAAAGAAGAGTAACAAAGGCCCAAGACGCACAGGAAACGGTTCTCAGTGTTATTAGTCATTAAAGAAATGAAAACCAAACACTCAGTTCCACGCAACGTCACATCCAGGTGAGCATCAACAAGCTCACAATGACAACAGAAGAACAGACATGATCAGATGTCAGCAGAGATGTGAAGGTACGTGTTTTGAGACTGCATAGATAGTATGGGAAGAGTTCAGCTGTTGCTAAAAATGGTAAGAATTACCATATAAGGCAACAATTCTTATATGTGTTTTTTGCTAAATGTTCTTAGCACTCTTAGTTACAGTGGCCAGAAAGTATAAACAACTCACATGTCCATCAACACATGAGTGAATGAACAAAATGTGGAGTGTGCATACGATGGAATGCCATTCAGAAAAAAGAACAAAGTTCTGAAACAGGCTACAGTGTGGATAGACATTGCAGGCACTGTGTTACATGACAAGTGTGATTCAAAAGGACAGAGTTGTGTCCTCCTGAGGCATGTGGGCAGGCAGATGTCTCTGTCTAGAGACAGAAGATGTTGGGAAGTTGGCAGGAGCCAAGGGGAGAGCACAGGGAGTTACTGCCAAATCCTTCCAGAGGTTGTTTGGGGAGATGGAAATCTTTAGGAACAGCAGCTGGTGATGTTATACAACATTGTGCACATACTTAATGCCACTAACTATGCACTTGAAGGTGGCTAGCTGGTAAATTTATACTATACATATTTTGCCATATTAAGAAAAAATCATGAACAAAATTGTTTTATGAAAAAAGTCAAATCTCATGAAAAATATTGGGAAGATATCATAGTCAAAGTGCACAAATCCCTCAATTACAGGCTTCTATAGAACAAGAAAGATTAATGTGAAAATATTTCCAGGAACACAAGTGGCCTGCAAACCCCTGAAAACTATTCTACTTTACTCAAAGTTAATGAAATACCAAA